CACAGCCGTTGTTATCAGGCAGGAAACGGCTCCCCATTTCTATCCGTGTGTGGCTTTGAATTCCCTAAGTTGTCACCATCTGGCCATAAAAAGGGGGAAGGTTGAATCCCAGAACTCTTTCCTTCACTTTCTGTTGGTAATGTGTTCTATTTTCTTCAGTCTATATAGGATTGTTTAAACATGTGATTAGACTCGGTTGTACTGCGAAAGAATTTTGGTTTACAAAGAGTTGAGGCTTCTCACAAAAACTGGACATGTAATTCCATGAGCTTTTCACAGGATTAAAAAACAAAACAAAACGGGATCACACTCCTATTGTCACTGGTTTAACTACCCAGTCTTTCCCTTGAGATGCAACCCTGTCATCTGCTTTAGGCTATGGATATCTCTAGCAGAATCTGACTGTTGGTATTATAGATCTTTAGACTAACATGCCCTAGTTTCACTTACCAATTCCAAAGTCAAATGATCATTTATTGTTTTCCTTCTTATCCCCGGAGGGTGTTTATTATCTTGTATCTGAATTAATGCTCAGTAGACAATGTGTTCTTATTATTATCCTTTTCATTTGTAAGTTGTGTCTCCAGAAAGTTGAATAGTCTTTTTCTTCTCTTGTGCTAACACTTTGTTGGAGAGTTCAATAACCTCATTATATTTTTTGTGTTCATAAATTTTAGGGTGTTTTAGAACAATGTTCTCCTCAATGCCTTTTAGAGTTGTTTTTGAGCATCAGCTATCTACACTTGGCCCAGCTCAAAGTTCCTTCACTTTTGCCTTAGTAGAATTCATTTCCTCAAATGCTGAACACATCTACTTTTTAAAGTAACTATGATATATTAATGGCATCTTTAAAAATGTGTACTTTCATTTTTATTCAGAAACTTCTCCAGTTCTTACCCCCTTGGTCTAAGTTTAACTCCCACAATTTCTAATTCTCATTTGGGATAGAGATAGCTTATCTTCTGCTCTACATCAAAATGTACTCTCTAGAAGAGATCTGATATTATTCTAACAAAGTGTGAATGTAAGTCACAATGTTACCTTTTCTAGGGACATGGGTATTTGCACAAGAGTCTTATCTCTAATTGCAAAGTGACACTCTTAAGAATTGTTAAAAGAAACTACTGTTCAGGATGGATGGAATGAGAAGACCCTAACCATGTGCGACTTACATGTCCCCCAGACAGACCCCGGATAATCAATGTACTCAGGTACTATGCCTTACTTTTGAACTGGATTTGGTATCTTAGAATGTTTTCTTTGAAATTATGGTTCTAGGGGTGCCTGGGTGGCTCAGTTGGTTAAGCAACTGCCTTCGGCTCAGGTCATGATCCTGGAGTCCCGGGATCGAGTCCCACCGTCGGGCTCTCTGCTCAGCGGGGAGTCTGTTTCTCCCTCTGACCCTCTTCCCTCTCGTGCTCTCTCTCTCTCTCTCATTCTCTCTCTCTCAAATAAATAAATAAATAAAAATCTTTAATGAAATTATGGTTCTGTATCTGGCTTGCTTGCTTCTTCATAGTGCCAATCTAGGTCGACAGGAGAATATGAGACCATTGTTCCATATCCCGCTTAAAAGAGAACACCACTTCAAAGAGAACAACAACAATCAGTTTTAAAATAAAACAAAAATAAAACAACAAGCAATCAGTTTTAAAACATTGTGCCTGTGTGCTTGTTAATTTTAACTTTTTCAGGGTTCCAAGCTACTTTAGGGAACCTACTTTGGGTGATTATGTTCTATATCTGCACAACAAAGCTGTCTAAATAAAAATAATTACTATATAATTTCCAAAAATTTCTCCTTTAATATTAGGAAAGTATTGCAATGTTTAGAATTGTCCCCTCTTGCTCTCTGCTAAGAACAAAAGTTAAAAACATGGAATGAATTCCTTGAACAAATTGTTAAATTCACTTTTAATAAAATTTCTTCAAAGGGTACTAGGGCTTTTAAATCTAACACAGATAAAATAAGCCATCCAAAGAAAACAAAATACTTCATAATGTACCTTTTAGCCACACTGCCTTTTAAAAATGTTCTTTTGCTAATTGCATTTAGTGATTACAGAAACAAATCTGTTGCATTCTGTTAGTCAACTTAGTTTATGAATGATCAGGCATTAACACGAAATAATGTTTATGAAACAGAATGGTCACATAAATGCATTTTACTCAAAATTATATTTGATGTACAATTTTAACCACTCTTCCTCTTTATAAGTTATATTATCTAGCAAGGTATTCACATTCTTCACATGGACCTAAGCCAGAGTTGACCTGTTAATGATGTTTGTACATTACTTATGAGCCAAGACTTGACCAAAATCTTTATGGAATTAGAATATATCTTTGTCATCCTACCCTTTTTGTCCCTTAAAAACAGTTTCACACGGGTGCCTGGGTGGCTCAGGTGGTTAGGCGTCTGCCTTCGGCTCGGGTCATGATCCCGGGGTCCTGGGATCGAGTCCCGCGTCGGGCTCCCTGCTCCTTGGGAGCCTGCTTCTCCCTCTGCCTCTCTCTCTCTCTCTCTCTCTCTCTGTCTCTCATGAATAAATAAATCTTTGAAAAAAAAAAAAACCACAGTTTAACACACAAAGCTAGGTGAGTGTGTGATTAGCTCCACATTCATCCATTTAGTAAAAGTTTATTGAGTACCGACGTGCCAAACACTGTGCTAGTTCTGAGAAAACAATTGTTAGCAGGACAGACATAAGACAGAGATAACATTCTAGTGGGGGAGACAGATTTTCTTTTAGAACTCAACAAATTAAAAAAAATTTACAAATCGTATATTGAAAGAAATGTGCAAAGAGCTAAGATAAGGGTTGGTGCGGGGTTGGCACAGTTTCCGGTAGAATGGGACAGAAAGGATGAGAAAGAAGCAGCTGTTTGAAAAATGGTGGGTGTGGGTATGTTTTGTCCCCACCTCCTCACTAACTAAGTGATTATTTATATGGTACTGCACTTCCCTAGTGATAACATTTTTATGCAAAGCATAACCATATATGTACTTTTAAAATGTGTGTAGCGTAGTTACAGCAAAGGATGGAAATAAATATACCCTCTAACCACTATAAAAATACTGTAGAGAAAAATTGTGAACACAGTGAATTACTACAGTTTATACAAAGGTTCCTTTCTACAAGTACATTGTGAGTCTCAGAGCCAGGATGATTCAACTGCAGAGGATGAAATAGAACCCCTGGTTTTAGGATGTAAACACAACCTTGACTTCTTTGGGGTGAGTTGGACATACCATGATCTGCAAATGAGAAAGAAACATAAGACGTTAAAAACAGGAAAAATTTCCCCAAATGGTCTAATTCTCACAAGTGGTTATATGATCTTTGCCATTCTAAAATCTGGGAGCCATTGCCCTCTACCTAAAACCCCCATTCTGGGCCACCGAATGTAGTGTCTGAATGCTTAGCCACTAGAGGGAGAGAGTGTGCCTCTGGTGATTCTGGAGCCAAGGAAAGGAACTCATGAAAAGGATAGGCTTTCAAGGGAGCTAAATTAAGCTCCAACCAGCTAGGGGTAAGGTCTATTCCAACTCTGGTAGCTTTGGGAAACTTGAGGATGGTTCCTTAAGACTTCACAATGGACCCTCTTCTACTAGCAATTAGACTGCTTAAACTATCCAGATATTTCATCTTAATTTTGAATATGTTTTAAATTCATCTTTCCAAGGACCTCCATAACTTTGCAGCTACTTAAACACAGGCTTAAATTTTAGCAAGGACTTGTGGTAATTCAGGGAAGTTACGTTTCTCTTTATATATTGGGAATTTATATATAATGAACAACATTCCAATTTTCTAAGATAATTTAGGATTAAAATCTTTGCTATCTACCGGGATTATTAGAATGACTTGTGGAGTTCTAATTTCAGTCCTTTCCAAATATGACTTCAGGAAAATTAATTTTACTTAGATAATAGGCTTAAAAAAACACACAAAAATCTGCCTTACCAATATATAACTCACAGGGGAGAAAAAAAATATGTGTGTGTATATATATATATAAAACTCACAGTAACTGCAATTTTTCTTAAAATTGTCATAAAGTTGTTGTTGCTGACCTAAGCCCAGATGATTTGTTCTCCAATGAAAATTGATTAATCTTGTTTGCATTATGGCACCAACTTTCATTTTCCATAATTTAAAAACGAGCCTATTTGCACAACTGTTTAAAAAATACAATGCATGAAACAAACTCTTAAGAAGTAATTCATTATACAACTTAAATATAGTTACTATACAAGTCCCATGGTATCCATTATTTAGTGTTTATTAATGTGAATGAATTCCTTCCCCACCCTGAAATCTAATGAAAAGAGATGGTCTAAAATTTTATAGACCTACAGACTAGTGTTTAAGATATAGTTGATGATTTTATTTTCAGTGTAGCACTTCTCTTTCCACAGCAGGAAAACACACACACACACACACACACACACACACACAAAACCAACCCAAAACTCAACAACTATTTTTGGGATTCTTGAAAGGAGTAGGAGTACGATGCTTCCTCCTAACTCTTTCAGCACTGATTTTCTTCACAATCTGTGATACGGTTTCTCAGAAATGCTGTTTGGCAGTCCGGATAATTTCATGTGTTTTCAAACTTAAGCCACCCAGACTACACAGTTCAGTATTTTCAGCTCCTTTCATTTTTCCTTTTCCCTTTAATTATAGAAGCCTCTATTCCCTCTTTTTGCAAATGTGGTTAAGTTAGATGCTAAATGATACTATTTGTAGCAGAAATATGCATTTGTTTTTTTCATGACGATCCACAGACGTTCTTCCCAAATAAAAAAGCTGTGCTGTACCTGATGATACTGACGGCAACACTTCCCTCGTACCAACTTTTTGGACCCTCAACCGTTCCTTTGACTTTGGTGAATGCGGCACAAGCCCTGGGGAGTAAACGCAAGTAAACACTCTAATTTTAAACTTGCACTGTAAAGCACTTTCAAAATAGTTGAGCTTCATCTCAGACCTGAATTTCCTTCTCAATTCATTCCCTCAATTCATCCTGATTCGTGTCCCGGTCTCCCCGGTGCCGTTTTCTGAAATTGTACCGCATAGTTAATTGCGAAGCCCGAGTGGGTGGGTCCACGCGCACACCCCGGCTCCGGCCAAGACGCCGATGCCTGAGCTCCGCGTCGGGCGCCTGAATCTTCGTCCCGCTCCCTTCGCCTGGCCTCGTCACAAATCCCAGTTTGAAAGAAAACTTCAAGCGGCCGAAATGAACCTCCCCTCACCGCTCCAATCCTTCCTTCCCAGCCGGCAGAAAACGTGAGATTTACTATGACTTGGGGGGAGCGGTCTGGGGTCGCCGTGGCAATCTCGGAAGCAGGTTACCTGGTCCCCCCTTTGGGGGCGGGATCCGCTGTTTGCGGGGCCGCAGGGCCGGGGGCGACGCGGCCGGGCGCCCGGGTGGGCGCGAGGGAGTGCGCGCGTCGCGGAGCCGCGGGGCAGCACTTGTCCTGTAATCGATTGCCGAGCGCGCCGAGCGGCCCAGAGCGCAGACACGCGCACACGCGCCCTCGCCAACCCGCGCGCACAGGCGCGCGCGCGCGCGCGCACACACACACACACACACACACACACACACACACACACACGCGCGCGCGCGCACAGGCACCCAGGCCCCGCACACACGCACACACACACGCGCGCGCACGCACGTCCGCCTGCCCGCGCCCTGGGCCCCGCCGTCTACCGCCGCCGCCAGCCCGCCCTCCGCCCGCGGGCGTCTGCGCGAGCCCGGCCGGCGGGGGAGATGTGCTCGGGCTCCGGCGGATCGGTTTCTCGGGGTTTGACCAGCTGTCCCGGGCTAACCCTGCTCCTCGCTGAAGATGGAGGAAGTAAAAACAGGATTACCCTTAGCTACAGATCCACTGCCTTAGTTTCCACCACCAACTGCAGTGCACAAACACACGTTAGGCACAGGAAAGAAAGAAAGAGAGAGGATACACTAACAGTAAACACAAACAAAAGGGTGATGGGATTATTTTACTGCATGCACTGCTGAGGTAAATCTCCGCTTGGCTTTTGCGTGGTGAAGAACAGCTCTTGTTTTATTTGTCTTCTGATTCATAGATTATATATAAATATGTGTATCTGATTTGCAAAGGGGGGAGTGTTTTCAAAGTTAAGTGTAATTATATAGCATCTCGTTTTGCACTGTGATGTGATCAAATGACTTGTTGCTGTTAACCAGTAATAATAATAATATAGATATTTTTCTCTGGGCGGGATGGATTGTGGTTATGATTAGGATAATGATTTCTGTAATGAACGCTCAGGGAATCGGGTTGAAAATGATGTCCTCTGCCTTAATTTTTCGTCCCCTCCTTGTAATGTGTTTCGGGGATGTTAATCGATTAATCAGTTCGCATCTCTGTAGCTGTCATGGATTTTGACTTGTTTTGCTTTGTTTTAACTTGAATTCCAAGGAAGATTGGGTAGCTTGGAATAAATTGTAGCTGTCCTGGTAGAAGGTAATATCCAGATCCTATTGGAATTTTTTTAAAAAAGCAAAAAGCCTGGTATGACACATGTAAAAAGGTAGCAGTTAAATCACTTTGACAGGTTCTAGTATGGGCAAAAGATGGAATTAAGATTTTATTTTTTCCTTTCTTTTCTTCTTTTTTTTCTTTTCCTTTCTCTCTCTCTCTCTCTCTTTTTTTTTGCCAAGGGCGAAAAACAGTCCTGTAAGTTGGCCTAGGTTCCTCGCTGGGTTCTGCCTGACTGTCCCTCCCCTCTTACCCCCCCCCCCACCTTTTCTTTCAGTTTTCTTGTCTTAGCTTTTGGTCGATTCTTAAGGAACCGGTGGATCAAGTTTTTTCTCTTCTTGTTAATCGCATTGCTGTAGCACTGACTGACCTCTCTCTCCCTCTTTTTTTTTTTTCCTCTTTCCTGAAAGTACGTGGTGCCATTCCTGAGTGACTTTTCCTACTAGACCATCCCAAAGGGACGAGGGGGAGGGGTGGAAGGAGGAGGAGGAGGAGGAGGAGGAGGAGGAGGAGGAGGAGAGGGGGGTGTTCCTTTTCTCTCATTTCTTGGTTTTGTTTATCAGCCGATCTGTTTGCAGGATTTGGGCTCGGAATGACCCACCTGTAAAGTGCTTTTCCTTCCTCCTCGCCTTGAACTCTGCAGGGGGCTTGGCTTGGAGGGGGCAAGGGAGGGAAAGAGAGAAGGGGGAAACACAAAAAACTTCTTTCTTTCTCTCTTGGTTTATCTTCAGCCCGACATTGTCACCTCCTCTTTGAGGGGTTAGAAGAAGCTGAGATCTCCCGACAGAGCTGGAAATGGTGATGAATCTTTTTTAATCAAAGGACAATTTCTTTTGTATGTACATTTCGTTTCTCTTTCTCCTTTTCTTTTTCTTTCTTTCCTTCTCTGAGGGTTAATAACCATTTCATTGATGGGGCCGACTTCTTTCGCTTCTCCCTGACGTTTCTTTCTTTTTAATATGTGTGTGTTAAATGTGTACATTTTTAAAGAGATAAACTCATTTGTAAAATATCCGAAGAAACTGCTCCCCTTTTAAACTTTACGGATGCCTTTCTTGAAAGCCTTATGTAATCATAATTTGAAAGAATTTGATAACAGTACAGCAGGTTGAAATTTAAGTGCTATGTAGTGACTGAGTTGGGAATTTGATCTGATTATTCCATAAAGAAAGAAAGAAAAGTTTTTTTGGGGGGGTGGGGAGGGTGGTGGTGAAGAAGGGGAGGGGAGGGAGAAGGGAAGTGGTTTTGGAGACAAGAAGTGAAGCTGCCTGTTTTCCAGTAAGTAATGGAGAAATTCCAGGAGCCAGGGCTAAATATACTTGGCGATCAATACAGAAATGGCTCATTGTGAATAATTTAGCTGCTGGTGCAGTGAGAGTTTTGAAACTAAAGGCAAAAAGGACCAGGGCCAAAGGAAAAAAAAAATAAGTAAAAATCTCCTCAGGACATGTCAATTCTTTAAACTTTTTCCTTCAAAGAATACAGTTAGCTTATCGATCTTTTCATTATGTGAAATCAAAGCTAGGGGGTGTCATCTCATACAATTTACTTTTGTTTCTGAGAATTAAATTCTTGTTTTGTGTCATTGGTGCTTGAAAATATTTCCCAAACTTTAAAAAAGTGATCCCCTTCCTAGGAGCAAAAAGTTTATGAAATTTTCAAAATCAGAATGTATTAAGTTGGCTTGGCATTTGTATCCAACCTTGGTCTGGCAGGAAATTAAGGTTACATTGAACAGGTGCTTACACAGAACTTAGTGTAGGCTAAAATGTCAATACAAGTCTGGGAGTAGGGTGACTGCTGCAGAGACCTTCGAGACACACTTGGGCACTAAATTTTTGTTTTGTTTTGTTTTCTTATGTTTGTTTGTCCTCCCCGCCCCATTAGAACATGATGAACCAACTTGCAACAATTGTGAATAGAGCTATCTGTATACCAGGGAAGTCCTCAAACTGCAGTGTGATTGTGGGAAGTAATGAATGGTAAAATACTTAAATCCCAGTGAAAGCTGGCACATTTGAGGTGTACCTTCCTATTTTTTTCTTGAAGTAAATTCTGATGAAGAGAGTTATTCCTTTCTCGCTATAGCCCATCTCACAGCACACTTATCTTTCCTATCCTATCTCCAGCAGGAATCAGATCATTTGCAGAAAGAGTTCAGTGACTTGCAAATGAGCACATACAGTACACTGTAGTATGTTTCTTGGGCCCAGGTTGCAGGAGCAGCAACATGGGCTAACCGCTTGGAGCTTCAAATAAGTTAAGCATTTAATGGCAGATACTGAAAGGAATCATTGTGTTAAGGGTATCATCTTTTGTATTGCAGCACTGCACTTTGACTATGGAAACAGAGGCTATTGATGGCTATATAACGTGTAAGTATTCATTTCCATTAATTTGTTATTGGTAATAAAATTAAGTTTGTGTTACCTGTATTTTATTTTCTGAATTATGGTTTCATCAAGAATTCTGTACTCTAATTTTCTGTTTGTTCACAATTTCACCTTTAAATGAGTTTGAGAAAATACTAGCAAAGAAGCAAAACAAAGGAAATATAGGCATATACCTACTCTATTAATGATAGTATGTTAGTCAGTAGAAAGTGGCTTAGCAGATCAACACTTTTGCACTGGAGTTTTTTCATTTACTTTACTCTTAAGTTTAGAATAAGTCAGGTTACATATATGTCTACCGATATGGCATGTACTAAATACTACTCTGTAACCTAATTTTTCTGACACATAATGTGAAAGCTCCTTAAGTTGACCTTTTTTTTTTAGCCAACTTTCCTTTTTAACATCCAACTCTCTGATGGAGCATTTTGGAAAATGCTCATTATAAATACTCTATGCTTGATGGATAAATTAGATGTTAAAAGAAAACTTATTTTTTCAAAAGAAAAATACTTTAGAAATCAACTATTCCACTTGCCCTTATTTTACAGTTAAGATTATTGTGATAATCAAATTTTATAATTTTTTTTTTGTGGGCTGGTCATGGCTTATCATTTCATTCATTTGCTATATATTTCTAAATTATAGTTCCTCATACTTTCTTTTAAGGGAAAAATGTATTACATTAAAATTTCAGGGCTATGCATGTCTCTGCATGTATGAAGCAAAGTCGGTAATTAGATTTTATGTGACAATGAACAGAGACCAAAAGATTTTATTTTGTGAAAGCAGGTGACAATGAGCTTTCACCTGAAAGGGAGCACTCCAATATGGCAATTGACCTCACCTCAAGCACACCCAATGGACAGCACGCCTCACCAGGTCACATGACAAGCAGTAAGTCTTCATTTTATGATTTTTTTTTTTTTTCCTATTTCTCTAGCGACACACTTGAATTTGTTAGGTCTTTGGGGTCCTCTCACGTTGTGGTGTAGCTGCTGCTATAGATTTTGCTAAAGAAAGAACAACACAGATTTATTCCTGTTCATTCTAGTATCATAAAACATGAGCCTGCTTACTAGTCTGACCTATCCCAAGGTGGCATTTGGGAGCTGGTGCTTACCTGTATCAGGTAAGAAATGTTAGACTTTGCTGGTTATTGTTTTGACTTGCCAGGTTTATGACTAGATTTGTTGTTGTTAGATAAAAGAATATGGAAACAAGTCACTTCCAAAGGACTCGTCACAGGAAAAAAAATGAAATAATTTTGTATTGCCTTGGTACAAAACTAATCCATCAGTGGTGGAATTGCAGTGTTACTTTTTTTTTTTTTTAACTATGTGCACGTTTCTCCTCCAAAACGTTGCAAGTGAAGTGTAATTGAAAATTTATGGACCCGATTTAAATCCATTTCTCTAACAAAGTGAAAGCGTTTTGTTTTAGACTGTCCAGAGAAGAACTGTGAAAATTAGGAAGGATGTTTTGAACTTGCAGCAATAGACAGGTTTTGGCTACTATTTTTGATAAAGAGTCATTCATTGATGTAGTAACCATTGTTTTTGTGTAATAAAAGAGCAACTTATATGCTGTCCGTGACAGAAGACCAAGTACTTCATTAAGAATATGGTTTGTTTTCTCTTAATTATAATGTTTAGTTATTAAGTGCAAATGCTGTGTTACTCTTCCTCAACCGTAATTTGAAATCTTGTGTTTCCCTTATACTTTTGTATGTGTTATATTCTTGTGTAGAAAGGACATCTGACTTATATGGAAATATAACTTAATTTAAACGTCTTCTCTTTGGGTGATATGTGAAGGAAAGGCAATTTCTTTCCTTTTTTTAAACAAAGATTTAATAAGTAAAGGAAACTGAATCAGCTTCTAAACTATGAACATATTCTCAAGTTATTCTGATTATCCAGAGAGAACAAATCTTCTTTCCAGTTCCCTCGTATAGTTCTCAAAACTTGAGCTTATTATAAAGCTACTAGCTTTGTAAATAGTGAAGACTTCTGAAGTATGAGCAAAAGTATATAAAGTATTATTGAATACATTTTATAGTTCGTTAACTTTAAGTGATTCTAACTTTGACTTGAAATTTTGATTGAACTATATGAATTTTCTTATGTAAAAGTTTTCTTTTTATTAATGGGAAGTATTTCCCAGGAGATTTCATTCTGGAAGCAGTCGTTGAAATTCCTTTATCACATAGAAAGAAAAATTAATAGTGAGTGACTGAATGTATATTAAATTACAGTGTTAATCTTTTATGATGGATCTTGTAACATTAATTTATTTTTTGGCTAGTTGGCTGTAATTTGACAAAAGTTATACTACTTCTGCAGTGTAGGCAGTATAATTTTTATATTTTAACATTTAATGTTACTAGTTCCTTGATAGAATAGATTTTTATTTCTCTGATAATTTTTGTTTCATTTCCTAAAGAGTAAAGATAGATTGATAGGAAAATTTCTCTTAGTATTTAGCTCTCAGCTTTGGAAACTTCAGAAACTTTGAATAATCATAGACTTTTAGCTGTCATTCCCTAGCCACCACTAGGATATCAGCAGGAAAATGCTTGTTAATTGGCTCCTTTACTTGTGAATTTGATTCTGGTTTGCAAGTAGTCTTCAAAAAAGCAGTTCACCCATTTATTTTAAGTAAACATCGCAGAGTGGGGGCATGATCAATTTGAACAAATAAGAGCTGTGCTTTTCACATTTGAGCTTTTCTCACCCAACCAACAACAGTAAAATTATGTTTGGTAGAGTTTTGTTTTGTTTTTCCCCCAAACTTACTAGCCTGTGGCAATTCCATGTTAATACGGTTTTTGGCTAAGCTGCATGTGTTTTCGTGTTCTTTTCCGAAGAGTTGCAGGTGAAATATTTGGCTCTCACTTCAGAGTTGTCTGTTGCATCCTTTACGTAGCCTCTCTTTACAGTATCTAGGTTACCCACTTTGGTGTTAGATGGAGAAGATACCCATTTTTCCTTTCTGTTAGATCTAGGAGAATATCAGCATTTTAGATTGCCCAGGCAAACAGTGCTAAAGAGGGACTCTTGTCTCTTACTTAGAATAAGAGACCTAAAATTGGTCACTCAGATATTTTTCTGTAACTTGGAATTATTTGCGGGGAGGGGGGGCTGTCATATCACTTGTGTCTGAGATGATTGGTTTTCCTAAATCCATTTAAATGCATTGTTGAACTTTATCAAATGAAAATAGCTTGTTTATTTTCTGCAATTTTTTTTATATCTTCAAATATACTTCCTGAAGGGCTGTTGCGTCCAAAAACAGAATTGCAATTTTGATTGGAAGTATTCAAGCCAAAAGTAAACGGGAACACCTTTATGATAGAGTAAGATAGCCTCCAGGAGCAGCAAGGAGAAGACAAGACTGTATGTCTAAGAGGGAGAAAGTTATTTTAGAACAGTTTAGAAAGAAAATAAAAGAATTAAAACCTTTGATTTTTTTTTTTAATAAAGTAGCATTCTGGCAGTAAAGTATCAATAACCTGTGATAGCCCCCTTATTTTGGTTTTAGGAAAAGGGTCAGTTTTACCACAAGGTCCTAGTCATTTGTTTAGGTTATTTGATGACTATTCTCAGATGAAGGCTGTCTGTACAACTTGCTGCCAGCTATTGTATAAAAAATAATGACAGCAGCTATCATTATTTGACAGTGCTAGAAAAGAGTATCGGCGACTTGGGGGAAAAACTAAAAAATGTTATAATGTCTGACAGCTTTTGGTTTTAAAATTTAGCATATAAGGTAAAAATCTTAAAAAGTGAAGGATAATGCCGATCTTAACATTTTACAGTAACTATTTCCTATGTTTTAGCATGAATTTTTGTAGAGAACTTTAGACTTTTTCTTATGGAATAAGATCTCTTTGATAAGAAGATGGGCATTGTTGCCTGAGATCATTACTCTACATCTTGAGTCTGCTGACAGTCTTCGGTGTCAGGGATGACAGTATATGCCTTGATGGCTACTGGAAATACACAGTGTTAAGTGATTTTAAAAATAGACTCTGGAAGTTAAGAATCTGAGACAGACAACTCAGACAGAACAATATAAAAATAATCCATATTGTATTTTGGCCCATCAGATGAGATTTACTTTGTGATGATTCCTTCTCTTTCTGGGTTAGCTCAATTCCAGTTCTTGCGTAGTGGCTTCAGTATCGGTTTCAAACTGTTCTATCTATACATGCTGCTTACTATTTTAAGAAATTAAGGTTCAAAAATTCGAAATTAATCTTTATCTTCTACTTTTCTAATGCCAATGAGTAAATTTTCCTTGGAGATAGGTAATGGGATGAAGATACATTGTGACACAGATTTTGTTTCTATTACTTTAAAACTTTTTACGTGGATCAACTTTGCAGTCAATACTATTTACCAGCCAGTTTGATGGCCAGGTGGCATGTATGGAATTGGAAGAAGTAGTAATTCTAGTTTTACAGGACTCTGACCAATAATCAGGTCAGGGAATCTAGTTTATTCTTTTCAGAGTGCTTCACATTCATTTTTTTTCCTTAGCGAGTTTCCATTTTTAGAGCATAGTGAAGCAGAAGTATATTATAATTTCCATTTTTCTTATGTAGAAATGGAGGTCTGAAGAAATCAGTTGGCATTTTACGTCCCTTAACAGAAGGATGGAGTTGTCAGGATTGGGGCATAAAACTGTGATATTACCTTGTGGTTTAGTTAGATCACTTTAACTGATATCTCTCTATAATATCATTGTCTCAAGGTGCCTGTCATGTCCAATACTGACCCATGTGGTAGGGCAAAACTGTATTACAGAGGTAGAGGAGGGTTATTATGAGGGTGGAGTGATAGCAGATAATCTTGTTAAGCAGATGCTCTCATGCACTTTTAAAAATATCGTTTATATTATGGGCCTCATCAGCTTTCTGAATTGTCTTCTGTAGCTTAGTTTGGCAGTCACCCTTGGTTGGATTTCCATGGGATACACCCTAATATAACACCAGATGGACTTGATATAAAAACTCACTATGTTTTGAATTGTACTTAGGCTTATGTGTATACCTAACATACATTTAGTTTTTACTTATTGGGAAATTAAGAGAAAAGCTTGATTTGACTTCTTTACACCTATCAAAGGTAAGTGTCATGGTTATGAACCAAAAGGAAAAAAAAAGAAAAGAAACTAAAAAGGAAGTATGTATGTGCAGGAATTAACAGCAGAATTGCTCTGTAGTTTTATTTGCCCCTCATTTCCCCCTCCTGGCATTTTTAGGCTACTTCAACATAAGAATAAAGGCCTGTCTTCAACAAACAAGGCAACTTACTGTTGTAGAGTGTTATCCTTATTGCTTCTGTCTTTGTCCAAATCTGTCTTCCCCACTGGAAGTACATTTTTTTTAGTGTAACATGATTGGTTAGGTTCTTTTGGGAGTCTTCCTTCAAGCTGTAATAAATTGAGATCTCTGGGTCCCATGCTTTTTTCTCCTAACTTTAAATATTGATATATTTTGATCTTATGATGTTCTGAAAGATCAATAGCAGGGGCACAGTCATAAAATTGGTAGAATGTGTTGTTTTTCTTTGATTTTTTTTTCCTTTATATCTGTTTAGGTCAAATGTATTTATTGGTCTGGTAATATTTTCCTTTTGGAATTAATCAAGACTCAGAATATCTATGCTTTGAAAGAGGTAAGGAGTATTTAGGAACTATATATTCCTTATTATATACGTTTAACCAGCCCTGGAGTGAGAAAAGGATGGGGGACATAATTTATTGAGCATGTATAGGAAGTCCAGCACTGTGCTAGATGCATCCATGTTATTTCACTTAGTCTCCACAATAGCTCTGTGAGGGAAGTAGTTATTCCATTTTTTTAAAAGATTTTATTTATTTATTTATTC